AGCCACTTGTACATATGCAAATATTTGCAATTAATATAATTGAGTTTTAAGTTGTCTATTAGACAAGTTTTCCAAGTGCAGGCAAATCAGAAAACTTTGCTTTCCAAAATGTTCCAAGAAACTTATTTATATGCTCTATTTCTTGCATATAAGTTTTGGTTAGATTTTGAACCATTTTGCATAACTTTGCGCTAAGGCATCTAAATCAAAACAAAGGAAAAAAAAAATAAAATAATTTGCGAATTGTATTAAAATGTTTATTGATGAAAAAATATTTAATTTTCTTTGTGCAAATTATAATTAAATTGTGTAAAAATATCATAAATAAAAAATGTCAAAAATTATTTAAAATATTATATTATATTTTGTTCGCCTAAATAAATAAATATAAACTTTTTTTTAAAAATGACTATAAATGCTTATATGGCTTCTGTTTATATATATTTTTTAGGTGGAATTTAATGTCACACTAAACATATTTATTTTTTTTTATTAAAAATAACATGAGGGCTTAACTTAAATTTTGTGCTCCCAATTTTTTTATTCGAAACTTAAATTAAAATTGTGCTTAGAATGAACTCACTCTCAATTATATGAAGTTTTCGCTTAACGAAAAACCTTTTTTTACTATTATTTTATTTAAATAATGTGAAATATTTTTGTATTCGTATCAAAATGTTGTGCTGTGCAATCAAAAATTGCCGCTGAGCTACTTTAAAATGTGCTTTGTTTATGTGCAAAGTAGGTTTAGAGTTGTGTTTTTGCAAAAGCCGCGTGTTACGCATACGCAATGTGGCCCGAACAAATTGCCACATAAAGCACTGGAAACGTTCAAATGCCAAAAAGCCAACTCCAATGGCTGCTTGTCGCGCACATGACGTTTGCTTATTATATATGATTTTCAAGCCCACAAATTTGCCACCCAAAAAAGAAAACATCAAAGCTCGCCGCCTTGCATATAAATTTGTTAAAAATAGCAATAAACAAATCGATTGATTCGCCGCTGAAAATGGCAAATAAAAAAGGAAAATAAATACAAAAAAAAAAATAAGTAGAAAAACTGAAAGTGAGGGAGAAAAGGATATCAAAGGCTTTTTGTGCCCATTATTTTCTTGCTTTTCACACAGTGCCCTGAGGATTCGGCAGATGTTTGCAGATGTTAGTTGAATGGGTTTTCTCTGCGTGAAATTGCGATACGAGTAGCTAAAGAGTAGCCTTTTAAGCATAGAGGACTGTTCAGGAGCTCTGGCATTAGGCATTAGGCCATGCAATTAGATAATAGTTTTTTAAGAATTGTTGAATCATTTAGTTTTTTTGTTCAATAAATTAAATAATATTATTTGTATATATTTCTTATTTTAATATATGAAATAACTATCAACTAAAGAACACTTTCCAAATAAACCAAATAAAAAATATATATGTATGCAAGAACTCAAAACTTTTCAATGTATTTTGTCTTTGGAAATATAATAAAACAAAAAAAGTTATAAATTATTATTTAAAAAAAATACATTATCAGATGTTGAGAGTATTATAAAAATACTAAATAAAATTAACTTTTATTAAATTAAACACCGAACCACGAGCCAGCTAACTAAATTTTTTAAAAATGTCAAGTTCGCCAAAATCAACAATAAATAAACAAAAATAAAAATAAATAAAATAAATAACAGGTGCAAGAAAAAACATAAAATATAAATAAATAAAAATAACATATAATAATAATACTAAAAATATAAATAATTAATTGATATATACTATTTAGTTGCTATTAAAGTACAATAATTAATTTTTAAATTGGAACCGTTTCAAGTCTTTACAAAAATAAATTGACTGAATTAAATAAATATATTTAAATATATTTTAATAAATAATAAAAATGTTTTACAACAGGAATATCAAAAATATTTGCTGTTATGTGCAATTCCGGTCTCATAAATAAATACAAATTAAATAAAATAATAACAATAAAATAAAATTTTATTAATTTCTTTCCACTGTTTAATTGCTTCTTATCTTTATTTTAACAATTTCCATTTAAATAAGTCTTAAGCAACTTAAATGAATGCACTTTTACATAAAACCAACAAAATATTTGCTGTTTTACGCAAATCTGGTTCAATATATAAATACTATACATTTTAAATTAAAAAATAATTTAATTAAAATAAATGTTTTCTACTATTCAATTGTTGTTTAAGTACAATATTTACTGTTTATAGACCCTTTTCTGGTAAATTAAATTAATGCACTCGAATAATTTGTAAAAGCATATTTGAAATGTCTTCCCAGAGAATATTTTCAGCACATTCTAGCACATTTGTCATTCGACCTTGTCTCACTCGCATTCCTGTTACACGTTTTTTATTTTCTACTCGAATATTTACATATGACTGAACTTAGCCCGAAAAAACACATCAATAACATAATTTAATATTAGTTAGAAATGAACTCTGTGGCATTGCGCTTGTGTGGGCGTCTGTAAGTAGATTTTTAAGGCAGTAAAGGAATGAACAAGTTGGGCAGTTTGTCAACTATTTGTGACCCTTGTTCGAGATTTCAAGGAATACAAATAAAATGCATATCAAGTAAGCCAGGGGACAGTTTGGATGTAGGTTCATTTTTCATCAGAAAAAAAAAGCTGGGACGTGTTAACAATAAAGATATCCAATGGAATATTTAATGTGCAATATTTTGTAGAAATTTATTTTATTATAAAGTATTTTTTAGTGAGCTTTGTGTCTGCTGATATAAATTTCTTGAATCTTTGGTCCTTACTTTCGTTAGTATGTATAGTAATTTTAGTATAGTATATTTTCGGCATGCCGAAGATTTAGGAACTGCTCGTAAATGCTGAGCTTGAGGAAAGTATCTGGCTTCTTCTATGCGTTACACATTTCATGACAAATTTATAATACCCTTTACAAAAGAGAAAGGGTATAAAAAGTTTTTATTAGTGACCTTGTATATGCGGCTATACATTTTTTAAACTTTTTTTTGTTTTTAGTTTCTTACTTTTAAATTTATTTAAAAAAATCCAGTTGCCTGTCAAAAAATTAGATTTCAGTTATGTGAAAATAGCTTTATTCATCATTTATATATATATAGGGTTATTTATTATTGGTAAATTAATTTGTTAGATCGAGTTTCCCTTTAACAGAAGACTATGAAGTGCATGTTAAATGCATTGCCTACTTTTTGGCGCACATGTCTTCTATTTTAATTAAGTTGCCGCTGATGAACTGCAAAAAAAACAACAAGTGCAACGGGGGATGAAAATAAAATAATGTTATTGTCACAGCGTCCATTTTACAGCGACAATTTAATATAAATGGAAAAACGAGATAATAAAGCAAAAAAACGCTGTAAAATGTCGCGCAAAGAGCGACTGTCGCAGCGTGGCTTTAATGCCACAACGCGCCCCTCGGCATTTTAAACATTACGGATTTGTTTTTATTTTCATTCTTTTTTTTTTTGTCAACATGGCACACATTGGGTCAGCGATGCATAAATGACGCGACACCTGAGGGACAGGGGCAAAGAACGTTTCAGAAAATTTAACAGATTGAAAAAAAAGCAAGTCAATAAAACAAAGTGCAACGAAAATCAACAAAGTTAAATAAATAATTAAAACGTTTTGCATTGGCAACAGATTAAATAGCATCAAATCAGTTCAGTAAAATCTACGTTTGGTACCTTATAAATATAAAGACCTTGTTAGATAGTTTTCTAATAAAAAGAAGTTCGCTGGTTCAACTCCTGAAAACAAATTGTGATTAAAGCATGACAATGCACACAGTACTCGCTGGCTTATTACATTTTATTTAATTTGATATTATTTTATTTAATAGTGTTTAAGCTTTCTGGTAAAGGCCGTGTCAGGCAGTTGTCTAAAAAAAGAAGGTTGCTGGTTCAACGCTCGAAAGCATATTGTGTTTAAAGCATGAAAATAATCGCTGGCTCAATAAATATTAATTAATTTTATAGTGTTGAAGTCTTCTGATACGTTTTAAATAAAAAAAAACCTTGTCAGGTAGTTTTCTAAAAAATAAAAGAAAGTCGCTGGTTCGAAACCCTAAAGCGTATTGTGATTAAGGCCTGACAATGCACACAGATAAATTTAATGATGTTTTAATTTTTGTAATCGTGTTCAGTGATTTAAATAATTTTCGTTGAATTATGTTTAACCCATGCTATTTGATAAAGATATATTGGGGCAATAAATTAATGCACAATTTTCATTAATTCAAACAATATTTATTCAGATTTCGGTCTGTATATCTGTATTACTTTTGTATTTTAATCATTTGTTGCGTATTGTGGTCAAAGCTGCTGCAAAATGCATTGTTATTAAATTGTTTATAGTTTTTTAATTTGGCTGTGACATTGCGGTTGCAATGTGCCGTAAAATGGCCTCTGGCCACAATACTCTGCATTTTTATTGAGCTGCCTGAATTGTTTATTATGGGCTACTCTTAATGGATTTTCAATTGGAATCAATGCATTTGTAATATATAGTAAAAAGAAAAACGAATAAATCTTTCCAAATGAATAACAAATGTTTGAAATATATAAGAATGAGGTAGTTGAAAGGGTATTGAATACGAATTGGTAACACATAATATTTACATTCTTCAAAAACATACGTCTTCAATGTGAAGGTCATGGAAGCAAAATATTAAATTAAATTGTTTTCAACTGTTTATTTTAACAAACCCGGACCTAGAGCAAGAAAACAAAATATTTTTGGACATAAAAAAGATTATTTTGCATTTTAAAATGATTTACTATTTTAAAAGTACTTTATTCTACGAAAAAATCTCGAGTTTTCTAATGCAAGTCCGTTTTATATCATCTGGCATATTCTCTATTTTTTTGTACCCTTCATCATAATAAATAGTTGCATGTCTCACAGGCGAGCTAGATTTTCCTTTTACATTGTAATACATTTTATTAAAACATTCTTTTAAAATTTGATTATATTTGTACAGCATTTGAATGTACACTGGAATGTTACGTTGCTTTAAAGCAAAATTTACAAATATAAAAACTTTCGTTGACTAGACAGGCTTTTGGCATAGTTTAACTCTCAGTTACATTCATGCTAAGGCAGTTGATCCAGAAACGATCAATGGTATGATACAAATGCGGCAATGCATTGCCAATGCTATGGTTCTCATCGGTGTAGGTCTATAAAAACGAAGTGGAATTAATTCACACACAAATTCAAATGTTCTCACGCTCTTTTCCAACGCACCTGCTCCTCAAATGCAATGTCGGCCCTTTGTAGGAGTTTGGCCAACAGCAGGGAATGTTGATAGTGCACATTATCATCGCCGGAGCCATGAATTAGCAGAAAGTCATGGGTCTTAAAGTTATCCAACTGACCAAAAACGCTGCTCTCATTATACTTGATCAGATTGTCCTCCACTGTGGGCAGCCCCATGTAACGCTCCGTATAGATGGTATCTATAATAAATAAAGACTTTGTTAATTCCTGCATATCAATGGTTATAAATTCAAGATTCTACCATAATACAGCCAGGAGGTGACTGGCGCCACGGAAACACCACATTGAAAGATGTTCTCATCGTCCTTCTCCAAAGTCTTCGCTGTCATATATCCCCCGTAGCTCCAGCCCCAAATGCCTGTGCGTTCGCGATCCACATAGCTCAGATTTTTCTGTAGCCAGCTGGTGACTAATAGCTGATCCTCCACCTCATGATCACCCAAATCATTGTTGACCGAGAACAACAGTTCTTTGCCCTTATTGCCAGTGCCACGCCCATCGATATAGGCGTAGATAGTGTCTCTGGTGGTGGTAACAAACGCCTCATAGCCGAGTGTAAAAGCATTTGTAACGCGCACTGAATTCGGACCACCATAAACGACCACAATCAGGGGATATTTTTTGTTCTCATCGAAATTAGGTGGCAACGCCAGCTTGGCAATGCCAGTGCTGCCATCCGCCAGGGTGACGTTGATAAAGCGATAGCTGGGACGCAGCTTGGTCTCCAAGTTTGCACGATACGCGCTATTCAGCTCCCAGTCGACGATCTTTTTGTGTGCGCCAGTCTCCAGAATTTCTGTGTACGACGGATTGGGCCCGGTGCAGGTAAGCGTGTAGTAGGAGTAGGATTTGCTAAATGTGGCGCTAGCGGAGCGACACAGCGTTCCATCCACGTCCACCTTGTCGCAGCTCAGGCAGTCGTTGTTACTATATACATGGTATTGCGCCGGATCACCCACCTGCGTGGCCTGATAATAACTGCAAAGGTTGAGGGATTGTTAAACACTTTAAGACTCTTACTCTCATTTAGAATACAACAAAATATTCGTTTTCTAATTGCGCTTAATTTGCAATTGAACTTGAAAACTTCAGGTATTCCTCGACACACTTACAGCTTATCATTGGCCTCATCATAGCCATAGACATTGAGCACAGTGAATTCTCCGCGCGATTTCCAGCTATTAAAGCCCGTTTGGAGATTAAGATTCCACACCTGATACCAGTTATCAATGAAGTAGGCAAATATGCAGTTCAGGCCGTTCGCGAGGCACTTGGGCGTGCTCATGGCCACCCAGCCGTCGGGCTCCTCGATGCGCTTCACCTCGACGCAGGCGCCCTGGTGACTGCAGCTTTGCAGCGAGGACAGATTCTGACGGCGATTCATCCAGGTGATGAGCAGATGGCTGTTATTCGACCAGACCACATTCTGTAAGATGTGATCAGCGCTCACAATATCAACCGGCGCCTCGATGCGTTGCACAGTTGGATCATCATTGGACAGATCATAGACACGCAGATAGACAACCGGATTGGAAGTGCCTGTTTTGGGATACTTGAGCTGCTCCTCGTGCGGATACTGCGAATACTCGCTTTCCGCGTCGCCATACAGGAAATACTTAAAGGTCTCCACTTTGGTATCATTGAAGAAGCCCACCGCCAGCTTTGTGCCATCCGCTGACCACCAGAGCGCACTGCCGCTGCTCAGCACCTCCTCTTCGTACACCCAATCGGGCACGCCATTGTAGACAATGCCATCCTTGCCATCCTCTGTAATGGGTATCTCCAGATTCTCATTGAAATGTATGTGCACATTGTTCTGGTAGACATAGGCCAAGCGATCCTTCAGCGGCGACCAGCCGCAATACTGCAACTTCTCTCCCTTGTGTATCTTTATGGCCGTATTTGTGGCAATATCATAGACATCATATTGGGCCACATACGAGTGCCGGAACTTCTCTGTCAAATTGTGACGCACCAAAATTTTCGTATTGTCCGCCGAGAGCGTAAATGTGGCGCCACTGTAGGAATTCTAGAAAAGGATAAACTCATTAAAAAGCTTACATAAAATCATATTTTCGTAATTACCAAAAATGTGGATTCCAAAAATATTGTATCCGTCTTGGTGGCCGCATTGTATTTGTGTATAGATTTATCGCTGGCAGTGTAATAGAATTCCTCATCTGCGGATTGAAATAATTCATGATTTGGTTATACAAATTTCTGGCTGTTATCTGTATTTACAAGCGGCAGGTCGCTGGCTCAAATCCTAAAGCAATCATTCTGCAAAGCTTATTAAACATTTCTATTAACCTTTACAAATAGCAATAAACCTATGAACTTTTGCTGCTATCTGTATATTTGCATACACAAGTTGTTCCGGACTGAAAAGCGGCAGGTCGCTGGTTCAAGACCCACAGCATTTGTGCTGCTAAGTTTATGAAATATTTGTATTAGCTTATACAAATATCCTTCAACAAATTAATTTTCTTACTGTTATATGCATATATTAGTGTTTTTCCTGACTGACAAGCGGCAGGTCGCTGGCTCAAACCTTCGCAACAATCATTTTTATTAGATTTTGAAAAACCTATCAGCAAATGAAATTTCTTGCTGTTGTCTGCACAATCGCGTTTGTCGTGACTGACAAGCGGCAGGTCGCTGGTTCAAGTCCCACAGCATTAATGTTGTTAAGCTTATTAAACATTTTTATTAGCTTATCCAAATATCCATCAACAAATGAGTTTTCATGCTGTTAATTGTATATATGTGTTTTTCCTGACTGACAAGCGGCAGGTCGCCGTTTCAAATCCAGCAGCCATAATGTTGTTAAGCTTATTAAACATTTTTACCAGCTTATACAAATATCCATCAACAAATGCATTTTTCTGCTGTTATTTGTATTAATATAACATTTTGTCCCGACTGGCATTCGGCAGGTCGCTGGCTCAAACCCCGCAACAAACATTTTTATTAGATTGTGAAAAACCTATCAGCAAATGAAATTTCTTGCTGTTGTCTGCATAAGCGCGTTTGTCGTGACTGACAAGCGGCAGGTCGCTGGTTCAAATCCCGCAACACACATTCTTATTAGCCTCTTATTATCTTGCTGTTATAGAGTTTGTACCGACAAGCGGCAGGTCGCTGGTTCAAATCCAGCAGCCATAATGTTGTTAAGCTTATTAAACATTTTTATTAGCTTATCCAAATATCCATCAACAAATGATTTTTCATGCTGTTAATTGTATTTATATAACATTTTGTTCCGACTGATATATTTATTAGCTTTTACAAATAGCAATCAACAAATTAATTTTCTTGCTGTTATCAGAATATATGCAAGTGTTTTTCCTGACTGACAAGCGGCAGGTTGCTGGTTCAAATCCATAATAAAAATATCAATATTCAACCCAATTTAAATAAATTCAATTTAACGACAATATGAAATTACAGTCATTGCATTTACACCAGAGTGTCTCACAAGAAATAACAAATTTAAATGAGTTTTTACCTAAGAAAACCCCCATTTAGAGCATGTATAGTATTACTCAGTAGTTAATTGTTGTTAAATTCGTTGTTTGACTGCGTTAAATGGTCGGCATTTGTTTCGGTTACACAGCTTGCCAAATTCCAATTACCAAAGCTGATGTGGTAGATATAATTGGGCAAATACCCAACTGAAAGGCGCAAAGCGAAACTGAATTTGCGCACAGAATAAACGAGAAAGGCACGTCGAAGATTAAATACCCTTGCAGACCCAACATTTGCTCATAGTGCTTTGCCTGTATCTAAGAAGCACAGGGAAAATAGTTAATGCCGATTATGGTTAAGATATCTTGAAAAACAAAGAAGTTTTCCATACAACAACTTAATTTTCGACCGATCGTTCCTATGGCAGCTATATGATATAGTATAGTATAGTATATAGACAGACGGACAGACGAACATATATCGACTCGGCTGTTGATACTGATCAAGAATATATATACTTTATGGGGTCGGAGATGTCTGCTTCTATGCGTTACACATTTCACGACAAAATTATAATACCCTCTGCAAGGGTATACAAACCTGTAATATGATTTAAAATAAAATCACGTTTGAATCACGTTTCCCTTCTTTTGACTAAGAGTCTCATTTGTGAAAAAACACACAAACACACAAAAAAGGCAAAATGGAATTTTATTTGAATGATTGCATTTCTTTTTGGTCTTAAATTAATTTGAGGTATTTGGGTAAAATGAAAATAACAATTTTTGGGTAAAATAAGAATTGCAATTTTGGCCAACATTTTTACACGTTCCGAATCAAAAATAATTGCAAACCTGTTTGCATTATTTGCTTAAATATTTGTATACCCTTTAAACATTGAAAATGGGTAATGATATATTGCAGTTGGGAAATAAATGCAATAGGCTGTTGGCGACATTTTTGATTTTCTATAATTTTGATAGACATCCATCGTCATGTTAATCGTCGTGTTTTATGGCACATGCCATATACATATGTATCTAGCACAAATTCTACCCTATCCTAAACCTTATAATGTACGATCAATAACCACAAATAGCTATTTTAGAAGAATTTCGCCGGATAGCTAATCTCACAAATGAAGAAGAAGCGACTGCAGGGTGTCTGCTAGTCGGGCAAACTCGCACAGAACACTGTATAGGGTTTTTTTCTGCTTTTATCTTTGACGACTTTCAGAGCTTTCAACTTGTAGCCTGACATGCATCATAATTGCGGCAACTCAAGAGCTCTACCTGACCAAAAATTATCAAAACAAAAATAACAATAAATAAAAGCTTAAGAGATGAAAGTTATATACTGCCATTATCTAACTTTCTAACTACACAAAGTTAATGCAATAAATATTAATTCGATTCGTTAAGATAAGCAACGACATATATAGAAACCATATAGATTAGATTGTTTGGTAGTACGCACGTTCAAATAGAGCTGCCCAAAAGCAACATCTATATGATTATTTAGGGTCTGAAGATAGAGTCTGTTAAGAGCTATAACTCGTGGTTAAAGTCAACGAAGCAAATATTAAATAAAATCGATATATAATTATATTAAGTATATTTATGAAATAATATAAATAATAATATTTTGTAAATTAGGGTAAAATTAAATTAAAAATAATTTTAAAAAATATATCGACTGCTAAAAGTTATCAAAAGCTAATTATCAGCTGCTAAACAGCATGATGTACATACATACATACATCAATTTATAAAGCACAACCAAATACCCTGTACATACCTAGATATCCGATACAATAGAGTAAAAGGGAAATGAACTCGGTGAAAATTATTCTATTCAGATCGCAAAGCAAAGCACACGCATTGTTGGCACATTGATAAGAATTTCTCATGCTGGGAATAACATGCTGATGTTGTTATAGGGAAAACCACAGCCTATGCGGGGGGAATTCCGGGCTTGATAACAAGCCGTGCTTGTATAATTAATCAAGTGACCCTGAGCTCACCTGTTATCCAGGTGCCATTGAAGCCCCGCAGGCCGGAGCTACCGTAAAGTGCCTCGATTAGTTCCCACGGCGTCTTTAAATCGTCTGTTGGTAATTTGAGAATCGCGGCGTGCGCCAGGCAAAGGCCAGCGGCAGCGAGCAGCAGCAGCGGCAGCGCTGCACTCAAATGCAATTTACCATGCATAATTGGACGTCACAATAACAACACCAACAACACGAACAACTCGAATAACACTAACAACAATGACAACAAAGCGGAGAAGCACTCGCAAAACGAAAGTGAGAAGAACGCCGCTAAAAAGTAAAAAGCAGCGCACGGCGCCGCAACAGAACTTCAACTGAATTCAAAATCAATGTTAATCAGCAATTAGCGTCGCTGTCGCCGCGTCTTCATGACAATTCAAAACAATTAGCAACAGTCAGAGAGTCGACCCATAAATACCCTGCACAAGACAAGTAACTAATATGCAGCACAATTCACGCAAACACAAACACTTGCTTGCACATGCTTTTTAGCCTACACTGCCGCTAAGCTGTATATATATATACACATATACAAATCTACCCGTTAGCTCACGAGAACAGCCTTGAGTTTGCCCTGTGTATAGGGTATTGTAAGCAACAAGTCAAGCGCAGCAACAACAGTTAGTGAGAGCGCGCGCGGCTGTGTTGCCGTGCTGCCCGCTGTTATCGTACGCGTTATCGCTGGAATTATCGATAACAGCGCTAGCAGTTAAATTCGAATTAAACGTTAGATATAAGCTCACCTGTTGAACAAGTGAAATTTAAAATATCTTTATATTACCTATAAAGTGACTCCCGTAATTGTCATGCCGTCTTTTCTATACCCTCGTCAAGGCGAATAAAAGCGCGTGTAAATACATTTTAGCACGCCTAATCAAATGTTTCGGTTAAAAGAAAACTAAAATTTAATTAAAGAAAGCTTGAAGTTTACCGTAGAACAACCAAAACTAACTAAATGTTTTCACGATTACCAATTTAACGAGCAGCTGCTACCGGGGTTATGCAAAAGGTCGCAACGCCTCAGTTAGTTCCAATACTCTGTGAGATATGGGATATGCTCCAAATAACTGTTATATCACATAAATAGTATATATCTTTGCATTGGAATTTATCATATATATAGTGTAAATCATATAAAATTATATATTGTACATAAATTATAGCCTGAATTACATATTCAAATATTTTTTAATTTTTTTTAAAACAATTAACTAAAATTTGAATGAAAAATTAAGATTGCTTGAAGCAGTCTTGGAAATTGCAAGTAGTCTCCATTTGTGTGCAAACGTTTTTAGAGGGTATCATAATTCTGTCAAGAAATGTGTAGATATATATCATAGTGCTGGAAATGGGAGGATAGCTTGGAGAAAAACGTTTTGATAAGTTGTGTGATTTTTTTTTAAGAAATTATAATTAATCAGAGCAATTAAATTAAAAGAGCTTAATTACGCTTCCATCGAAACAATAGATCCGAAATTAAAATTTAATATACAAAATATTAGCGTGTGAAAGGTTTTTCAAAATTCATTTTCGTTGGAAATTATAAATTACGTTTGTTTCTTTACAATCTTTATTTAGAGTTATGCTTAGTGGTATAAACAGAGTTTGTTTCACGATAGTAGATAAACACATATATTTTACGGACATTTAAGCAATGTGCAACCTCAGACATCATCAATTCATGATCCTTTGATCATTTTGTCGATTGTTGCTTACGTTTAGAAATTTCAATATTTTTCTTAATTTTGTTAATATATTTGTTGGTTTTGTTTTTCTGTTTTGTTTTTAACTTAGACAACTAATTTAAGTGGTAAACATAGAACGCTACCGGGGCTCGGGTTATATTTAATTTAAAATGTTTTTACTGTGGCGGCGGCGGCTGCTGCTGCTGCTGCTGCTGCAGGTGTGGCAATTGCATGACACGCGCTAGGATGTGCGCTTGCTGCTCCAGGCATTTGGGGAAGAACGTTTGCAGCAGCTCGAGCTTGCGCTCCTCCAGTTCCAGGCGCTGTCGTGAGATTTTCGTTTGCTCCGCCAACAGCTGGTTCTTGCGACGCACTTCCTCCATATACATTGATTCCAACGAATCGGCCGGCGGCGGATTGCTCGACCCAAAGGGCCGCCCCCGCTTTCTGGGCGTCGGTATCGGTGTCGCAATCGCGTTGCTGTTGCTGCAGCTGCTACTGCTGCCGGCGGCTGCAATTGCCGGCGGCTGCATCGGCCCGCCATTGCTGCTGTTGGTGGCCACGCTGATCGTGTTGTTGGTGCTATTTATGTAGGCCACCGCCGTGATGGCCTGATGATTAACGGCTGACGTTGAGGCCACATTGTTGCAGTTGCTGCTGCCGCTGCCGCCGCTGTTGTTGTAGTGTGCCGGATTGCTGCCAGCATAGCTGACCACGCTCTGCTCATAGCCAGACTGAAATTGTTGTTGCTGCTGCTGCTGCTGTTGATGTTGTTGCTGCTGCTGTTGTTGTTGTTGTTGCTGCAACTGCTGTGGTGTTTGCAGCTCCAGCAGCTGTGCGGGCTCCGCTGGTGAATACTGTTGCATCTGCTCTTGAAATGGCATCGAGCGATAGTCCTCATCGTCGTACTCCTGCTTGATATCATCGTACTGATCGGTAAACAGTTCCGTATTGAAGCTCATTGTGCTGCTGTTGTTATTGTTGTTGCTGTTATTATTGTTGGTGTTGGTGTTGCCCTGGGCATGGCTGCTGCTATTGTTGCTGTTGCTGCTATTGTTGCTATAATAATTATTGCCCGCTGCCTCGGCAGTCAAATTAAGCACCGACTGTTGCTGCGGCTGCGGCGGATGTGGCTGCGCCGGCGGCTGTTGTTGCTGCTGCTGCTGCTCCTCTTCGCGTGGCGGCGACACATCGCGGTTGTTAAGCAGAACCTCTGGCGGCAGCGGGTCCGCATTTTTGGGCCTGTGTATGTTCTTCAGTATGCGATTGATTAGGTCATATTTTTTCCAGCGCAAGGGATAGCTGGTTGGATCACTTTGCAGCTGTTTCTTAACTTGTCTGCAATACAAAATCGAACGTACATTATATACTATTGTAGCAGACTGCGCCCACACACCTGTCTGATGCACTTACCGAAACTTGGCCCTTGTCTGATTGACCTTCATTTGTATTTCCTCGGGCTTCACATCCACCGAGAAGCGTTCGCGCAGCTCCTCCGACCATTGGCCAAAGTAAACGGTGTTCTTGCCGTTGCGTGTGAGACGCCAATTTTCCCGCCCCCAAATCTCATAGAGGCGCTCCTCCTCGCTGGGTGTCCAATAGCGGCGCGCCTTCTCCTTGGACTTCACCTCCAACAGCTCCTGGCTGCCGCACATATTGCCCTCTGGCTCGGCGTCTGCCTTCGTATTTGTGCTCGCAATCACGTTCGCATTTACTGCTGCGCCGGCCGCAGCGCTCCCTCCACCAAGATTCAGGGCCAAATTTTCGTAGTCCATGCGAACGCCAGGGCTCGGTTTTGGAGTTGTATCGAAGCAGAAGTCACTTATTAGTCCACTGCATTACCTAAGCGCGTTTATACAATGCTGTGCCACATTTATTCAACACAAGCTTCAATTTTTTCGCATTAAAAATCAACAACTAGGGATGGCTGCGAATATCGATTAGTACACAAAAGTCGATGATTTCATTTCGATTATTTTGCATACCAAGGCGGCAAAGTTCGAAATTTTCTGTGAACATTTGGCTACAAAAATGCACAACAGACTGCTAAATAGTAAAGCATAAAGCCCTAAATGTGCAACAATTAACTTGGCATCATTATATACAATTTATGCATAAATCGCTTATCAAAACATCGATATTTTTCAAACTTTATATACTTAGCACATCCATAACAATGCTTATACACATAACAATGTGACCCTGTACAAACAAACATAAAATGCCAAAAAAAAATACCAAAATTCTGCAAGCAATAGACTTACAAAGTTGCAGCCTTGCGCTGTAACCGGTAAGGGCATATTGCCAAAATACCCGTAATTGGCACATCTCTAGTGCTTCTCCAATGCCCATCTCTATTGGGCATTTGGGCCATTCTCATTTAATGTTACTTTAAAGAATTGCGGCACCTGAGCAATTACTTGACTTGGACACAACATGAGTGATCCGGAAAATGAGTCAAAGCCCAACAGACGCGGGCCAAAACATATGCGTCTGCGCTACTATACATCGTACGAGGAGGCAACAATTGTGAAATTGTGGCGCGAGCATTTGCACGAAATAACATCTTACACCGAGAATTTGACCATATTTCGTGAAATAGCCTTTGGCCTGCAACAGCATCGCATCAGGCTCAACAAGCAGGAGGTGCGACGTCGCATCTGCAATTACCGCAACAAGTATTTGTAAGTTGTGTGCAATATTTCACATTGATTCAATAATTCACCCAATTGGCACACGCCTCCGCACAGAGTCGAACGCAATCGCATGGAGACCGATCCGCAGTATAAAACCGAGTGGCGTCTCTATGCGCTCGTCGACTGCCTCTTCCAGCCAGAAACAGCTGCGCCCAAGACCACGCCCGTTGTGCAAACGGAACGCAAGCGAATAGAGGACATCGAGTCGACCATACGCAGCGAGCTGCCCAGCCTGCCACGTTTCAATCGCCACGACTGTAGAACCATGAAATTTGAACAGGATCCGAACACTTGTCCCTTCTTTGAGGGACAGCAAGCAGCGGCGGCGGCGGCGGCACAGATTAAGACAGAGCTGCCGCAGCACGCCCCGCCCAACATTAAGACTGAAGTCAAGCCCGAATTTGATGTGGAGCCGTCAATGGCAGTTCCCGCAGAGAAACGCTCTCCGCTGGCGCCCGCCAATCGCACACTGGAACCACAACTGTTGCCACCACTGTCGCCGGCAACTGAGTTTGCCGCTGCGCCGCCGGGCGCTGGACGTCGCTCGCGTCGTCGCACCATAATGCCGCGCACGGGTCAGATATCGCTGGCCCAAATCGAGCGCTTGCGCAAGGAGAACGAGCTGCTGGCCGAGCAGCGGGATGCGAATCTCGCGGATCTGGCGATGAAGGAGCGCGAATATCAGCAGCTGGAGCAGACCTTTGACTTCTGGCTGCATCAGCAGGAAACGTGGATGGCTTACCTCGACGAGCGTGGCATCAAGTGAGTGCCGTGTGCCAAACGTTTTGTAGTTTCTAGCATGACAATCGACTTGAATACGACTAGTTAAGTTAATGATGAATTGAAGGTTGAGCTTTAATTTCGAGCAGCTGCCAATGTATTGAATGATCTCCGGCGCTGGCTTTTGGTTTCTCTTTTGCGTTCCTTTATTGTTAATGATAGGTATAAAGGTGCTAAGGAAAGCAGCGCAAAATATTTTTTATATTATTTAATAAAGCCAAATACTGTAATCCCCTGAAAGTTAACAATTTATTTAATTGAATATTCGTTGCATATGGCTGCAAATATCGCGCTTAGCTCTGATATAATCGATAAATGCGGCTGTTGGTATTTTATCAGTATTTTTGAGAGTGATATTTTTTGCAATACCACATACAGTCACACTGTGTGGCATTTTCATCATATTGTCTTGTATTAACAACTTTGATTAATTAAAATGAGTTCAACTTTAATAACAAATACAATGCGTATGCTGCGCATAAGCAGCAGCATTAAATGGCACATGCCCACCTTTGCTGCAGTGCGTCGATATGGTAAGCAAGCAGAAACGGCAACAGCAAATGGAAGATTTCATAACAGCCGGCAGCAACGGTATCGATACTTTCGTTTTAGCCGCACCGCCCAAGCGTTTCTACAAAACAACAAATGTGCTCTGCACAGACGCCGGCTATGAGGTGACATTGGATCATCGCAAGCTGAAGACGCCCAATGGCGCATTGTTTACGGTGAAGAGCGAGCCACTGGCCATTGCCGTGGCCACCGAGTTTGACGGCCAGAAGGACCACATTGAGCGCTCGCGAATGCACATCTCCGCGCTCTGTTTCACGGCCTTAGACAACCCCAATAAGCTGACAAAGCTTGACATGGTCAACTATCTGCTTAACTTTGTGGCCACCGATACGGTGCTCTTCCAATACGATGTGAGTGTACGCATATTCTTATTGGATCGCTTACGATACATCACACTTTTGCATGGACATTCGAATTCTTGTAGGATGAAAAGGATCTGCACGAGCTGCAGCGTAATGAGTGGGATCCGCTGATTGCCTGGTTTAATCAGCGCTTCGAAACCAATCTGCAAAAGACCATGAACATAACTCCACCCCAGGTCAGCGATGAGGATAAAATGAAAATTGCCAAACATTTGCAATCGTACAGCTTGGAAACGTTGCATGGTTCGAAGGACACGACACATTTTTTATACCTAGACAATAATTACCAATCGCTTTTCAGGTTTCATTTTTGCCGTTGACACGCTGAAATCCATTGTGCTCGCCTGCGCTGTGATAGATCAGAAAATAACAGTGGAGCGGGCGGTGGCTCTGTCCCGTCTGGAGGAGGAGTATCAGCTCAAGTTCTGGGGCAGGGTTGAGTGGGCGCACGATTTTAGTCAAGAGGAGCTGCAGGCGCGCCTAGCTGCCGCTGTGCTCTTTGTCCACTTCAATTGTTCCGAAAACTTTGTCAAAGAAAAGTCCATATTATAAGCTAATTGCGTGATATTTAACAAGGATTTTCCATTTATTAGACAATTGTTTAAAGTAAATAACTATTAGCAGCAGCTATGTTGAATCGTAGCATTTCAATTGCTCCCAAAAGTCTGGTTTATAAGCTGTTGCATAAATATCTCTCTGATAATTTAAAAACTATCGCTTAGCTGCAGCTGCGATATATCGCATACAAATGTTTTATTAACTATCTGGCAGCACACGCACATGTTTTTAAATAGCGTTACCAACTGCTGTCGCACTGTCTCGCTCACACACATTTGGCGCGAATTTCAATTCCATTCAAATTTGTATCTGCACACGCTATTGTGGTACGCCTCTAGCGGCCGTGCTAAAATGTAAACAATGCGATGCGCATACATAGCGCACGTTACCATTGGCGAAAAATAAGCAGCAGCCCGTGTGCTTATGCTGATTAGGAGATTGCTCTCCTGCATCCCCTCCCCCCTTTCTTACACCATTGTTTTGTATACGTTTCACGATCTTCCTTGTCTGTCCGTACCAACGTATATGTATGTATGTATGTGTGTATGCACACGACTCTGCTTTCTCAATGCATAGTTGTACAGTTAATTTTGTTGGATTTGTTATCTGTGTACTTATCTGCTGTTTGCTTTGATTTTTATCGCTGTTCTGATCCGTCGCCTGTCTTCGCAGCTTCTCGACATGGTTGATCCATAGGAAAAGCACTCAAAACAGTTGATTGCCAGCGCTTCTATTGTGAAGTTGCAGTTAAAGTTGTGTGTTAATTGTTTTTTTCTTTGTTTTTTGTGCATTTTGTTATTCTCCAATAATGTCGAGAAGTGAAGACACGCCGATTGTGACGTAAGTTGACAGCGGGTGTTATTGGGCGGTGCAGAAAGTTTGCAGTCGAAAGATTTTGTGCAAATTTTTTGCATGCACAAAATATAAGTTGAAAATCTTAGACAAATTACCATAAAGAGCAGCAAAGTCGCCAAATGAGCTGCTGATTTGTTAAATAGGCGTAAAAGCGCCAGACCGTGGGATCCGCGACAACTGTCAGAGGTGTGAAAAGGCCTCGAAACTTGGCTGATAGAAGCGGGCTACGAGTGAAGTGGCTGAAGAAAAGTCTCTAAAGAAAATACTCGGTCCATTTTTTTCTTTCTCCTCCTTTTCTTTTTGTGCTGCAATTGCGTTGCAAACTTGCAGAGCAAGTAGTTTAGCGCCATTTGCACTTTTCGTAGTAAAAATTACGCACCTCCCCCGCACTCCGATCCAACCATCCTCACACATACAGCAAACTTATCAACGGGCACATCACACAGCCGCTCACAGGCACATACACACACACACACACACATGTGTGTGTGTGCACCCACGCTGTTGTCGTGCCGTTGATGAAGGGGCGCTATAAGCGGGGGCGTGGCATTAAGTAGTCGCCGTAGTTTGGGTTAAGTAACAAAACTTCAAATTGAATTTTTCGTTGCAGTTTTCATTTTAGCACCTATCAAAAAAACCCTTTTCATGCGCTTCGTTCGCCTCGGCGTATTTTCTTCGTTTCTTTTTATTCCCGCTGCTCATTACGCGCATTGAGGATAAAGCGGCCGGTGTGCGGGGTGCGACGTAGCGTGCGCTTACATTGTGTTGGCTAAGCGGCGTACTTGCCAGCCATCAGGCGATTTAATGCTCTATTGTGTATTTTTTTTTAGTTAAAAGTTTTGCTGTGCAAAAATAAAATACCAAAAACAATTAAATGCGTCGATATCGATATATTGAGTATCGATATACTCGCTGCGATCACACATTAATGCATATGTATATGTATGTGTCTTATATAGCTATCTCATTCTTTTGCATTTGCAGGCGCAGCAACAATTACGGTACGACGCCAACGCTGCCGTCTGTGGAGCGCGGCGGCGGCAGCGACGGAGGCGTCCCTGGCAATGGCAACAACAACAATGCACCTGCAACACCTTCGCAGATTTTCTGTTTGCATGGCCGCTC